CTTTCTCTGATTTCGCTTGCAACTTATGAACACTCAAGAGATTTGAAACATGAGATATAACTGCATATATTAAAGTGTTGGAGGAAAAATCTTTACCTTCTAACATAATTTTATTACAGCGCATCCATACCTCACATAGTAAAAAGATAGGAACAACCATAATAATTGTTTTCCTTGCCGTGGTATAACTTTCACCTGAATGCCATGCTTGGAGATTACTCCACCATCCTGTATGATAACAAAAAGTTATATCCATGACTGTAGTGAAGTGGTTTCATACCTGACCTACCTTCAGATAGTCGAAAAAGATATAATCTGTACTTTCTTCCTGTGCTCTACAAAAAGGGCATCTAGATGGGTTTGAATATATTCCCATTTTCTGCAAAATCTCTGAAAAAAGGCAAAAAGTGATTAAAAAGCCTCCACACGAAAAAAGAGATTTTTAAAGGCATAACTTTATTCAAGAAATTTTTAAGGCTAATGGATTCTCCCCTTTTTCCCTAAATTCAGCATAAGTGTCCGCAATGGAGGAACGCCCTGTGGATTTAGCTTCCATGCTAGGTAATCCGGCACACCATTAAACACCATCATCATTCCTGTTAGACACACTAGGGTTGCTGGTTACAAGAACTCTCTCAATTCCTGCAAGAAAAAAAAAACTTTTGAAGAATAAAATTGCCTAACCGTTAAATCCGGCCAAGGAGGAGCAGCAACACCTTCCCGCAACATCTCTTATTCCAACCATTTTCCATGCCAGAAGGAGGAGGATCCATCATTTATAATCATCTTGCAATTTTAAGATGCCTTTTAAGCGACTTTAGACACTCTTTGCCAGCAAGTTTTTTCCTTTCTCGTTTCTAATAGTGATGAAATAAACCTTGCCCCAAAATCTTGGTTTGTATTTATTTTCCACCATAGCTTCATGGAATAGGCTTCTATGCTATCATTTTCAGCAACCAGGAAGGTGATTTTATTCGAAGCTTTCCCATGCTTTTTGCTAATATACTCATTTTCTCCCCAAAGGAATTGTTGACAGGTTTTTTTCTAGCTCTTCAATAATTGATTTCGGAGCAGATATTGATGCTATTGTATATATGTATAGGAATGGAGGATAAAACATGCTTGATCAAAATGATTCTGCCTCCACCGAAAGTAATTTATTTTTCCAATTCCCCAATTTTACTTCAGAAGACGCCAACAAATGTTGAAAATATTCAGCTTTATTAATCCCTTTAAGTATATTGTAACCCAAATATTTAAAAGGTAAAGTACCTTGGGGCATTTGCAACGTTTGAGAAACCATGCCAATGTGATTTTCACTACTTTTTTCTGAAACCAAGAAATTGCTCTTTAAAAGATACAAATAATTTAAAGGGAGTTCATATAAAACTGTAATAATTATTTTTTTAGATAACATAAATATATTTTTTTCATTAAGCTTGTAAATGTTTCTTATTAATATTAAGATGCTATCATTTATATTGCTTTTGAATTAATGTACATTTTAATTTATGAGTTGAAAATTAAAATAAAAAATGACATTTTATTTCAATATTTAAAGTCGTGTTTTTTTCGTTGAATTGTTCTGCCCTTAATATAAATTATTCAGTTGTACTACCCTCTTTATTAATTATTTAATATCCATTACCCCGCATCCAAATTTTTCTTTTTATGTAAGGGTTAAGGAATATTTAAAATTCTTCCAGATAATGTTTTGTCAAATTTTCTTTGTGTGTAACTTCACTCTTCTTTGTAAACTGGACTACATTTATCTCTTAATATATTTATAATTTAATGTTATTTATGTACTTTCACACGATATTATGAATGAGATCTTAGCTCCAAATTAAATTTCTAAGCTGAATTTTTTGGAAACATGATTTGTTATATACACGAAACAAAGCAGCTCCTTTTTTTATTTTACATTGACGTCATATTTTAGCAATTATAATATAATATTATTTTTTAAATACTTGTAAAAATTTGGTCGTAACCTTCATTATGAATTCAATCTCAGGATCATAAGGATTAATACTAAGCCACCGTAGATTCCCAAGGTTGAGGCCCAAACTTATTCCCAATCATAGTAAAAGAATTATCACCAAGATGAAGAAATTTGCATTATTCCAAACTAATGAAAAACAGGAACAACACATTCCCAAGTTGAAGATGAAGTTGGCAAAACCCCACAGATTTGGGCATTGGGGCTGATCTGCATTAAGATCTCCCGCAGAAAGTGAGGGACTAAAAGGAGTCCATTTATACTTAGTGATGCCCATTTTGTTTTTTAACCATTTTGCCCTTTTTCAACTTAACCATTATTTTCATTTTCAACCTCCAAATTTTGTTTTTTTTAGGGACATCCAGGGTGGTATCTGGTTGGAGAACCCCGATTTTATTAATAAAAAAAACAAAAGTATAAATAGTAGTGCGTAAAAGTTACCCAATCAAAAAGAACCGTCTCACAAAAGTTTTCCTAAGAACTCCATGACCTCCAACATTTTTTTACAAAATCCTATAGAAAACCAAAATCTTCCAACAATCAGCGCTTAACGCCAAATTTGGGCTAACTCGTGGCATAAACATCTCAAATTGAAAAATTTATTGCATTCTATTTGAAAAAAGAAAAAAAAATTGTTTCAAGTCATTTATGCACTGCGCTGATGGTTCGGACGGGTCCAGTTCATGCTGAACCCAACCGGACCGCGACTAAAAATGCACGAGCCGACCTGGTTGGGTGTAAACCGGACCTGCCCAAATCGATGGTCGAGCGCAGAAGACATTCCCCTTGACCAAAAATCGGGCGCATTTTGCATGTGTGCAGCCCGTGGGTTGCACATACGAGTGAAGCGCTCGGTTCGATTCATGGTGCGAACAACCCCTAACCGTCCTTTATTAATCTTTTAAGTTTGCTACCTTAATTTTTTTTTCTACTATTAGTTATTTTTTTAAAAAAAAATTGTGCTATAAAGTGTAGATATTTATTAATTTTTTAGGAATTTAAAAAATTACATCTTTATATTTAATTAGTGTAGTAGGTTTTATAAAATTTTGAATAAATAATTATTTTATTTTTTATTAATAACAAATTTTATATTTATTAATTTTTATTTTTTAATATTTTCTTAAATCTAGTAATTTAATACTTTTTTAAGTAATTTCTAATGTTTATATTAATCATTTTTTTAGTAGTTGATATAAATTTACTACTTATTTTATTTTATCAATAATATTTTTATATTTATTATTTTTTAAGTTTTCTATTTGTTGTCTTATATATTTTTTTATATATTTATCTATCGTTCATCTATCGTTCAAGTAATGTTATTTGTTTAATTGATTATATAATTATTTAGTTTATTAGTAATATTTGTCTATAGTTTTTTTTTTTTTTTTTTTCTGCAAACTAATAAACTAAAAGAACCTTACCTATGATGGTGGGGAACTTTTGACTCTACGCAAAGTGAAATTTTCCATAGTTGCCCATGTTAATTGTAGAATTTGAGCATTTGAGGATTGAAGAAGATGTTATCTATTAATTGTATTATTATTAGCGTTGAACAAATAAGGGCAAATTGGTTAACAAATAGGCGTCGGGTAACTTTATTAATAGGCGTCGGGTAACATTATTTGAGCTACAAGTAGGATTACCTGACGGAAAATAATGAAATTGATGGGCCTAGATGTCCAGTCTCAATCCACTTCAGTTAGCAAGGATCTGTGTTCTGCAATCGGGAGAATCGCCTACTTGCCGGAATGATCACACTCTAGCAACGACACTCTATTTTGAGAGTTTTATTACCGGTGGGAAACGATTGCCAAGAATCCAAAACCAAAATTTGTAACCCTACTTAATGATCTTAGCTCTGGATGATCATTTGTAATGGATAATCTTGATTGAGATTGAAAGGCAAAATTTAACTTTTGGAGCTAAACTTGTTGCTTGTGAAAATGCATGGTTCCTCTTTGTATTCCTCCTCCCCCAAAGCACGTGCGCCCCCCCTTCTGTCAGCCGTTCACCCCCGCTCCTGGCTGTCTGCCTCAATTCCGAATGGATATCGACGGTGATACGGATGAAGCTTCAAGGCAGGTTCAGGTGCGGTTTGTGACGAAGCTGAAACCTCCATACAAAGCACCACCAACCTCTATTATGATTCCTTCCAACCTCTCCCGATTGGGACTCTCCACAATCGTCAACAGTCTTCTTAAACCTTGAAATGATGATTGGAAGGCTGAAACTTTCAATTTTCTTATTGATGAGGAGCTTGTTCGGAAGTGAGAAATTTCTAATTGCCAAAAGTGTCTCAGCTGCGAAAATTCTCGAGATTGAATACATCAAAACCGTGGTCCCAAGGAAGGAAGAGGAGCCTTCTCTGCATGATGATTGAGTTAGTGCGGTTGATGGTTCAAGTTCCAAGTTGATGGTTTAAGTTCCAAGTTCATTTTGACTGGGGGCTATGATGGTTTGGGGAGGATATGGAAAGCGGCAGAATTGTGTACACTGATCCTGGAGGGGCACACTGGTGGCATAAATTCTGTGTGTGTCCTCAAGCATAAAGTTGAAAGTCGCGTTGATCAAGTGGTAGCTACTGCTTCTAAAGATATGACGTTGAGGTTGTTTAAGGTTGATGCAGATGAGTCCCTTAATCAACCAAAGAGGGTGCACACATTTAAGAGTTTGCACGGACATAGTGCTTCTGTAACATGCATTGCTTCTGACTTCTGAGCCTTCTGGTGATAAGATCTGTTCAGGTTCTTGGGATTCTAGGATTAATTTATGGCAGGCAAATGAAACTAGTTCTGAAGGAGATGCTATTTCCGTCAAGAAGAGGAAAAAGGAAGGACAAGAGGAATTGCAGAAAGAGGAGGACGCAATATCTACACTTGTAGGGCACACACAAGTTGTCTCTGCGGTGGTCTAGCCGCAGCGTGAATCTCTATTTTCTGCTTCATGGGATCAATCGATCAGATGATGGGATGTTGAAACAGGAAAAGATTCGATGAACATGTTTTGTGGGAAAGCATTCAACTGTTTGGATGTTGGAGGTGATGGTTCCTGTCCGCTAGCTGCTGGCGGGTCAGACCCTATTCTTCGTGTATGGGATCCTACAAAACCAGGTACTTTGGCCCCTACCTTTCAGTTCTCCTCTCACACTTCATGGATATCTAGCTGCAAGTGGCACGATAAATCATGGTATCACTTGGTGTCAGCATCTTATGATGGGAAAGTTATGCTATGGGATCTGAGAACTGCGTGGCCTCTTGCTGTTATCGATTCACACAAAGATGATAAGGTCTTATGTGCCGACTGGTGGAGAGGTGACAGCGTTGTAAGTGGGAAAATTTACTTATACATATCTCAAAAAAATTACGAAGAACAAACTAGACCTAGGGTTTTAATTATGGACAAAAATAGTTCTTTCGCGCTTCAAACACGCAAAAAAATAAAAATCACGTTTCGAAAAAGCTAAAAAAAGAATTTCGCGTTTTGAAAACGCTAAAACTCAGTTTTCGCGTTTCAGAAACGCTAAAAATAAGAAATCGTAATTAATTTAACTTTTTTCCTAATTAATTAATGGTAAAAGAATTGAATAAATAAAGATTCGCGTTTTCAAAGCGCGAAAAAAAAATTTTATTTAAATAAAAAAAGAAAATAGTCATAAAAATTTGATTAATTTGCCTGGTTTAAAAAGTTATAGTGAAATTTACTTCAAAAAATTATTAAATTTGAATAATGGTAACACAAAATTTTAAAATTATAATTGGTAATCATTAAATTTTGAATAGAGCTATAAAGAGGAAAATTATATTGATAATTTAAATAATACGAAAATTAAATTTTGAATAAGAATATAATATTATAATTGATACTCATTAAATTAAATAGAGCTATACTAAATATAAATTATTAAAAGTATGATATAGTTATTATAATGTATTAAATTTTTAAAATATTATATAAAAATTTAATAATTATTATATTAAAAAATTATATTAAATTTTTAAAAAATTATATTAAAAATGTAATCATTATTTTATTAAATAATTTTATATGAAAAATTTTCAATAATGATAAATGACGTCATTTTATGGATTTAATTAGATGTAATTTAATTTACAAATTGTTTTTATTAATTATGACGGTTTCAATATAAGAAAAAAGCTTAAAATATGAATAAATTTTATTAAATATTTATTATAATTTACCAACGCTTAAGATGAAGCAATTATTGTCTCTTCTTCGGAAACCTCACAGGGGAGACAGCAAAAATGTCGAAGCGAGGACGTGGAGGATCGGCGGGTAACAAGTTCAGGATGTCTCTGGGTCTTCCAGTGGCTGCGACGGTGAATTGCACCAACAACACCGGGGTAAAGAACCTTTACATCATTTCAGTGAAGGGAATGAAGGGTAGGCTCAACCGTCTCCCTTCTGATTGCGTCGATGACATGGTTATGGCCACCGTCAAGAAGGGTAAGCCCGATCTTAGTCAGAAAGAAGGTCATGCCCGTAGTATTGTCCGCTAGCGCAAGCCATGGCGCCGAAAGGACGGTGTTTACATGTACTTTGAAGATAATGCTGGAGTGATTGTTAATCCCAAGGGAAAAATGAAAGGTTCTGCAATCAGTGGTCCCATTGGAAAGGAGTGTGATGATCTTTGGCCTAGGATTGCAAGTGCTGCCAATGCGATTGTTTAATGCACCGCATCTTAATTTTGAAGAGAACTTTAGTTTACTGAATGTTTGTGTAGTTATCTGGTACTATTCTTTTGTGGATGTGGTAATTTTAATAGACGGTTGGTATGTAAGAGCTAAAAATTACATCTTTTGTTTGGATAAACTAAATACTTTGCTGTTTGTATAAAAAAAAAAAAGATGAAGCAACTATTAATTATTAAAAAAATATAAGAAAGTTTGAAGATGTGTTTAGATTTGATCGGCGAAGATGTGTTTGATAAATATTAATAAAGTAGCAACGATGCAGGTGAAATCAAACTATTAAGAATATTAATACAAGTCATAACAAAATACTACAAGTCATAACAAAAGGGAAAACAATAAAACAAGTCATAACAAAAGGAAAAAAAACATAAATGAACAAAAGGGAAAAAAAAATACAAGTCTAATAATACTACATAAAAAGTCTAGTACCCTACTTCTTCTTGGGCTTTTTAGCCCGGAAATGGCTATAAGTCAATCTATCGGGCTCCTTCGTCACTCTCTGGCCTTTACTCACAGCTAACGGTGGAGTCCCTAGAGTCTGACTCGATCCCTGCTCCTCATGGCGCTGATAACCCTGACCCTCAAACTGATCATCCTGGTCTGCATCCTCAGCCTCATCCTCAGCCTCATCTTCACCCTGACTCTTACGCTCACCTCCAGCTGGGTCATCAGCCTGATGCTGACCCGCAACACCCTCAAACATACTCGAAAGAAAGTTACTCGTGTAATGTATCGACTGGCCATCTAGCGAGCTCTGCTGGAACCCAGAAAAGTCAATAAAAGCATCTCCAAACTAAGGCCGAGAAGTCTGAGGGGAGGAAAACTGAGTGAAGGCAAAATGGGACTCCTGGTGCTGGGGAGACATAATGGGACGGTAAACCGCCTGTTGGGTCGGTGAAGAATGATGTGGAGACTGATGTGGAGACTGATGGGATGAATGATGTGGAGAATGATGTGGAGACTGATGGGATGAATGCTGTAGAGAATGGTGTGGAGACTGATGTGGAGACTGATGGGAAGAACCGTCAGTGAAGGGGATATGAGACTGCTAATGCTGGGAGGACTGATGTAGCTGAGTGGGCGTGATTGTCTCTTGCTCCCCACGCCCACGCTGAGACCTGCGCGAACGCCTCGGAGGTCTGGGTGGTGGATGTTGCTGGGTCGGGTCTACAGGCGCAAGTTCTTGACTCAAAATGTCATTAACCTCAACATGCCTATCGAGATCGTGATGTACAACATTCGTTGCATTGACGGACAATGCCCGCTCAGCAACCTGGGCAATCTCGCCTAAGCGATCATAACCAAAGGAGTCCGCATCGAAAGTACGCTCGCCTATAATACTCAGACTACGAACGTCCTCCATCAATGTGGCCTAAAATTTTTGTTAGAAAGAATCATAAATCGATAACAGTGTCAATAAATTACATAATGGACTGTAGGCGAAATACTACCATGAGGCGTAAGGTCTCTGCAGAGCCGTGAAAACCCCTTGCATTTTTAGAGTCCGTCGGATCCATAACATACTTTACAGTAACCTGATGGTACCACAAGAGATACTCCGGATCTACGGAAGGCTTGCCAACATAATCATCATCAGTCCCCACAAGTCTGCCATGGCGATCATTCCAAACCTGGAGATATATCCCTAGTTGTTGTATCCATCTCCTATCGGATTCTCCAAACGGCTTCCTCTTGAGCAGGCTAGTAATTTTCCCCGCAGTGAGAAGCAATTCGTCGCCGGGTATCCGCTGGTGATAACCAAATTGGCGAAATACCCTACTGGGGTTGTGTGGCGCAACGACATCACCGCAGATGAGCCATGTCTGAGATCGCCATATGCCATGGAAACACTCGTCAATCTAGACTCCTCTGTCTGGAACCTAAATCCAAACATAATCTCCAAATAGGCTGCCCAACCACCTTCAGGCGTGGTGTGATGTCCTGTAACTGGACGTCCATCAACCTGAAGCCCCAAAAGAACCTCAACATCCTGCAGTGTGATAGTAGCCTCCCCAAAAGGTAAATGAAAAGTATGGGTCTCTGGGCGCCATCGCTCCACAAGAGTTGTAAGCAGGGCATGGTCACATCTTATGGACCCAACTCTAGAAAATGGTCCAAAACCAAATTTCTCAATATATTCTTTTGTCATCGTCGGTGCATCTTTTACATATTTCCACACAGCGCTATCTACGCGTCTGGGCTCCGAAATCCCTATATCATACTGTGCACCATGGAATATCTTGTGTGACCTATGGCATTTTGGAGGAACAACAAACTATTGTCTCTAGGTCCCTGCCATAGCTTCTTTGAGGTTGATTGGGAGGAAGAAGATGATCCAATGTCTATGGCTATAACAATTTACAAACAATTCTAGTAAGTACGGATTAATATTTATTATCCTTTTATTATCTTAATTATCTACATATTTTTTAAAAATTCAACCTAATACCCAACCTTATAAACCCACCCCCCTAAACCCAACCCAATACCCAACCCCCTAAACCAACTCCTCTAAACCCAACCCAATACCCAACCCCCTAAACCCACTCCTCTAAACCCAACCCCCTAAACCCACCCCTCTAAACCCAACCAATACCCAACCCCCTAAACCCACCCCTCTAAACCCAACCCAAAACTCACATTCTAAACCCAACCCAATACCCAGCCCCATACACCCAAACCCACATTCTAAACCCAACCCAATCCCCCAAACCCTAAACCCCCTAAGCCCAAATACCTTGTCTTTTGCGTCGCTGAACCAATCATTTGACAGTTGCCTCCCAGTTTCTCCTTTCGAAAATGCCCAACCAAGTTTGCTTTAACATGCTCTAGACAATACCGGTGGACTCCCATCTCTAGAAATTTTTGCAACATGATGTCCATGGTAGTAAGGATACCCTGATTTCGATCAGAGATAATACAGGTCTTCCTATCCTGTATAACAAACTTTTTCAAATACTTCAAAAACCATTTCCAGCTGTGTATAGTCTCTTAGTCCACAAGAGCAAATGCGATGGGAACAATTGTGCCATTTGCACACTTTACGCATGCCACAATTAGTTTTCCTTTGTAGGATCCTCGCAGGTGAGTGGCATCGATGGTTATTACTGGCCAGCAAGCATGAAATAACTGTATAGATGGCCCAAATGCCCAGAAAACATACCTACATACAAACCTTTGCGAGCTTCCTGAATTTTCCTAAAACTTGAGTTGCACACAGGTGTCCGGGTTTGACATGAACAATGCATCGAGAAAGTTGGGCAGTTGTTGAAAATTACTTTCCCATGTACCATACAGAGCCTCAAGTGCTTTTCTTCTACCATGCCATGCCTTCTTGTAGCTACCTTCGACTTGGTACCTCTTCAAAACTTCTATTTGAATTTGGGCAACTGCAAAATCTGGATGTTTTTGCACATTTTGGGCAACCAGTCTAGCAATCATAGAAGACGTGACGTTTCGGGACTCGTTTCTCTTGTTTGCCCCAAGACAGTTGTGGGAATCGGACCATACCACCTTTTTCCAAGTACCGGTGGCCTTCTGTAGCGAAACTTGCGCCTTCCACAGGCAATCATAGCCGTGAAGACGCTCTTTCGGATATTTGGGTCCACAGGTCTCGCATTCGACATACCATGTTCGTTTAGTGCTCGTTTTCACCCGGAAAGTCCGACCATGTACCAAGTTCCATTCTCCCACTGCCGCTTGTGCCTCAGGCTTGTTGGTGAAATGTATATCAAGGCCTAGCGTCAATTGCCATCCCACATTTTAATCCCATCACAATCTACTTCCTCTAAAGTCTTGTCCCATCCACTTATGTCGTCGAAAACATATGGGACTGAAGAAGATGACTCAAAATCAGTGTCGTCATCTGAGTCCTCATCCGATGGGACGTACTCATCATCATTGCTTTCGACACCCCCGCCATCTTCATCTTCATCTGCATCTTCATCTTTATCTTCATCTTCATCTCCATCTTCATCTCCATCTTCATCTTCATTGTCTTCAACTGTTCTACCACCACTAGTGCTGGCACCAATATCCTGGCCAGATGTACTTGCATAAACATGGTCTGTTCGCTCAACATTTTCAGGGTACAATTCCGGCCATTTATCAGCACAAAGATAAATGAACCGAACAGTATTATCATCATTAATGTGCACACGAGACCTTTTTCCTGACCTCTTCGTCCATACCAAAGAAAAATCAATATAAAGCCCTTCTCTATCAACTTCCATCACACCACATACCTTATCAACAAGTTCCGAGAAATCTAACATACGATCAATGATAAGATAACCGTCCGGCGCATCCCGCTGTACCGTGATAGTCTCATCAGGTTCAGTTGTATAAGTAGTATTCCAGTATACTTTCAGACGAACTGTCTCCGTGAAAGACATTTGTGGCCTGCAAAATCAATTCCTACGAAATCAGAACACTAGAATACGCCTGAATTTAATAATTTCAAAAGAACAACTATACGCCTGAATTTACAAATTCATTTCTATGCTAAAAATTAATATTAAATCTAAACCTTATGCCCGAATTACAGAATTTATTCTTATGCTTATATTCAAAAATTCAATATCATTATTATACTTTTATTTTATTTTACAGAAATCGATATACAATAATTTACAACTTCTCATCTAATTTAACATTCTATTAACTAATATTTCTTTCAATTCACTTTATCAGCCTAATTAAAAAATCACCGTTAATTGACTAAATCACAATTATTTATTAACTAATAATAATGCGTAAATCATCCTATGCTCACAATAAGGCATAAAAAAGTACACGTTTTCTATAACGAAATAAACTTACCTGAATGTTGAAACTTAGGGTTTTAAATAGGCTTCAGGACTCAAATCAATCTTCTTTAACTTCGGAGCAACTTCTCAATTTAAAGGAAATGAGAGCTTTCACGGATTCAGTCAAGTCCTCCGGAGTGAAACTTAAAATCGGAGCTCAACAGAATG